AATATGCCTTGTCTGATATTTGTTCAAGTTTATAATTCTTTTGCTAGGGTGCGTCTACACAGCAGAGCTTAACTCAAAATAAGATACAAATATAGCTGCATCAATTGTGTAGCTTATTTTGAAATTGAAATTGGGAGCGTTTACACAGCACTTATTTCAAAATAGAGTACTCTTCCTCGGCTTCCCTTACTCCTTGTACAATGAGGATTACAGGAGTCGGAGTAAGAAGTCCTCCACCTTGACAGTATTTCGATATTATTTCAAAATAACTGTCTGCTGTGTAGACGTGGACTAAGTTATTTCAAAATCACGCTAGTGATTTTGAAATAATGTTGCTGTGTAGACGTACCCCTATTATTCATGGCTGTCCTAATTACGTTTAAATTAGTGAGGAACAAAATACACAAGGCTTGTGTCGAGGGGTGCTGCCCCTTGCTCGGGACCTTCCTCATCGTGGCCTAGTCTTTGAAAGTCCCATTCTCCCTCTTGGGGTAAATACGGCCTTCCAGCACAGTCTTTGAAAGTTCCCCCTCTTGTGGTAAATAGGGCCTCCTGGCTCAGTCTTTGAGAGTCCCCCCTTGTGGGATAAATATGGCCTTCTGGCCTAGTCCTCAGGTCTGCAGGACCTTCTGGCCTCCGGGGCGCAGCAGCGGGGGAGGATGGGGGATCCGGGCTCTCCCACTCCACTGGGTCCCAGCCCAGGGCCCTATTGGCAATGACTTGGTCCACTGCCTGCTCAGCGAGAGGTTCCTCCCCTCAACCCGCTGAGCACTCGGGGCTGTAATACTCTCTGCCCTGTCTGCTTCCTACATCCCCACGCGTGTAGACGCGGTAGTCTGATTTAAAGCCCTTCCCTCGAATTAAATGTTACTCCTCATTGTATGAGGAGTAACATTTAATTCGAGGGAAGGGTTTCCAATTGAACTACCGTGTCTACACGCGGCAAGTTAAATCGGGCGACCGGCATTTTAAAATGGCGACCGGCCACGAATATACTAATCAAGCATGGGATATTTAAATCCCGCGCTTGATTTGCAACTTCGGTATGCTTCATTTGCCTCCCTAGTTTGCACTAGGGGGCAAGTGTAGACATACCCTAACAGATTTATTGGAGCATAAGCTTTTGTGGGCAAAGACCTACTTTGTTCCACGAAAGCTTATGCTCCAATAAATCTGTTAGTCTATAAGGTGCCACAGGACTCCTCATCACTTTTGCAGAGCCAGACTAACATGGCTACCCCTCTGATACATGGCAGGAGATGCTTTATTGGAGAAAAAATACTCGATCACTGCCACACTAGTGATTTTTAAATGTTATTGCTAAGTGCTTCTATTGCACATTTGAAAAATAATATTCTGGTTCATTTTTAAATAATAAAATAACCAAGTTCATAAGGCCTTAAGGATGGCTACAATGTATCAAACCAATGGTCCATCTAGCCAGTATCCTGTCTTCCAGTAGTGGGACTTGCCAGATGCTTCAGAGGAAATGAACAAGGCAGGGCAGTTATTTAATGGATCCATCCCTTGTTGTCCACCCCCAGCTGCTGGCAATCAGAGGCCAGGGACACCCAGATCGTGGGACTGTGTCCTTGACCATCTTGGCTAATAGCTATTAATGGACCTATTCTGCATCAACTTATCTAATTCTTTTTTGAACCCACTTATACTTTTGACCTTCATAGCAACGCCTGGCAACAAGTTCCACAGATTGACTGTATGTTGTGTGAAGAAATACTTCCTTATGATAGTTTAAAGTCTACTGCCTGTTAATTTCATTCGAGGTCCTCTGGTTCTTGTGTTTTGTGCAGGGCAAAATAACATTTTTCTATTCACTTTCTTCTCAGAATTAATAATTTTACAGATGTCTGTCATATCCCGCCTTAGTTATCTTTTTTACTAAGTAGAACAATCACACTCATTTAAATCTCTCCTTTCATGTAAGCTGTTATCCCTAATCACTATGGTTGCCCTTCTCTGTACCTTCTCCTGTTCTAAAATAACTTTTTTTATGGCACGACCAGAACTGCACACAGTATTCAGGGTGTAGGCTTACTATGTATTTCTATAGTGGCATTATGGTATTTATCTATTTTATCCCTTTCCTAATGTTTCGAAACATTCTCTTTCCTTTTTTTGACAGCTGCTGTACATGGAGTTGATATTTTCAGAGAACTGTCCACAATGACCCGAAGGGTGCTTCTACACAGCAGCGTTATTTTAAAATAATGGCCATTGTTCTGAAGTAACAATGTGAGCATCTACATGGCAATTCTATGATTTTGAAATAAATTCGAAATAACGGAGAGCTTATTCCGACTTCTGTAAACCTCATTCCATAAAGAATAACGCCTATTCTGAAATAACTATTTTGGAAGTGCTGTAGTGTGGCCACTCCACTGCTGCTATTTTGAAATAGCTCCTCCCCAGGCCATTCAATGTAATTACTCCCCAGTGCCTCTTGGGACTCTAAATCGAGATAGCACATACACATTAGGGGAGCCTGCCTCAGACTAATTTTGAGGCTACTCTGTAGTATAGATGTGCTATTTCAAAATAAGCCGTTTTGGAATATTTTTTTCTGGAATAGCTTATTTTGAAATAAGTGTGCAGTGTAGATGTACCCTAAGAGTTCTTCCTTGAGTGATAACAGTTCATTTAGTCCAATACTTTGTATGTATGGTTTGGTTATGTTTTCCAATGTGCTTTATTTTGCACTAATCAATATTGAATTTAATTTGTCATTTTGATGCTCAGCAACCTATTTTTTGTGAGATCCCTTTGTAACTCTTCACAGTCTGCTGTGGACTTAATCATCTTAAGTAATTTTTGCATTGCTAGGCAAATTTTTTGCCACCTCACTGCCAATCCTTTTTTCTGTTCATTTATTATGTTAAACAGCACTGGTTTCAGGACAGATCCTTGGGGGAGTTACCTCTCTTTATTGTGAAAACTGACCATTTATTCCTACCCTTTGTTTTCTACCTGTTAAGCAGTTATTGATCCAGGAGAGGACCTTCCTTCTTTTCCCATGACAGATTACTTTGCCTACAAGCAAAGACTTTCTGAAAGTCCAAGTACAATAGATCCACTGGATCACCCTTGTGCACATGCTTACTAATGCCCTCTAAGTATTCTAATAGATTGATGAGGCAAAATTCCCCTTACAAAACCCGTATTGACTTTTCCCCAATGTATTGTGTTCATCAACTTTTCTGATATCTCTGTTCTTTACCATGGTTTCAACTCCTTTCCCTGGTACTAAACTTAGGCTTATGAGTCTGTAATTGCTGAGATGCCTCTAGGATACATAGTTTGACCTCCTGCATGACACAGGCTGAGGTCAAAGTCCATAACTTTTGGTTGAGCCAGAGCATGTCTTTTTTAGAAAGATATCTAGACTTGATTTACAAATTTAAAATCACAGAGGATCCTCTATGTCCCTGAGGTGTTATTCTAATGGCTAACTATCCTCATTTTTAAAAAAAAAATCTAAATTTGTTTAGTTTCAGCTGCTAGCCAATGCAACTAGCATTTCCTTAGAAATCAATGTCACCTCTTAACTTTCTCTTTGAGCTAACTTTAGCTTTTTAAGCCTCTCATTGTAAGATAGGTTAGGTTTCCAGTCTGTGAAACAGTTTTTGTAGCTCATTTTTGAATTTCAAATTTTTCAGCTTACTTCTAAGAAGTTGTCAAAAATGGTCTCACTAGTCCTCAATTTACTTATATTAACACCTCCCTACATCGACTTGATAGTTCTCTGCTTATACTTTCAAGTGTTTATACTTTTAAACACTACTTTGCACTGGGAGCTTGTGTTCACTTGGTTATCCACCATGCCAAGTCACTTGTTTCCAAAATACCCCTATTCTATAAGTGTGACCTACGTTCTTGGTTCTCAGATGTCCGATCTTTTATTTAGCTCTATGAAAAAAGCAGATTATTCATCTAAACTTAGTTACAACACAATCCTGATTACTCATTTAACACCGTGTTTTGTGTCCTCTGCAAACTGTATTGGCATAGATTTTATACATTTACCAACTGTAAATGATGCCTCTTCACTGTAGCACAGTATTCCCTTCTGGTGGGGACTAAATCACAGGCTTAGCATAGGATAGTTGAGTCTTTTAGCTCAGGCCATAGGGACTCATGTACTAAGTCCCAGGTTTAATTCACGGATGATGATGATGACCAACCCAAAGGAACCAATATTACATAGATTATTGAGAGAGATTCTGAATAACATTGGGCCAAAACTAAATCCCTGTGTGACCCCCACTAAAAAGCACCTCATTTTATGATGATTATGCACATACACTAATTTGTTTTAGATATAACAGGTGTTAATATATTTAATATGGGCTACACTGATGTTTTTTGTATAGTGTTAATTGTGCAATACTAAAGTCAAATGCCTCACGGAAAAGTATGTGTATATTATATCAGTACAGTTACCCATGTCAGCTTATATTCAGACATTTGATATCCCATAGTGAACAAACATTTCTTAAAATAATTGCATTTTAAATATAGATCTTAACATTTACTTTTACTTATAATTTAGAATTTTAATTGAGTTGGCTTTTGATGACCTATGCCATAACAGAAAGAGAAAGCAATTGGTTTCATTTTCATTGAGGAAGGAAGATTTCAAAAGTTTCAGAAACTGGCTTATATCAAGGCTTTCCAGACATTTTTCCAAAATGTCATCTTTTAATTCAGGTCAGCTCATATAATCAAGTTTAAATCTGCTGTTCTGACACCATTCTAATAATGCGAAATTGTTTGCAAGAAGTTTTAACTCTAATTTTTCCTAATTCATGATTACTGTAAAGCATTCCCAGTTTGTGGATAGCCTAAATCAATGTATCTTTTTAAAATATTACTTTCACATACTGAGAATGCTATTCTACTTTTATGGAAAAGGTTAAGGCTATATAAAGGTAAATTAGTATTGTATGTTTCATTTCATGACAAAAATCCCAACTTGCTCTTACCTCCTCCATATATTTGACACAAGTATGGAAATCTCCACACATTTCCCAGACCTACTGCAAATCCAATGCAGCTTAAAATATACTGGAATTTATTGTCCCACTTCGGTCTGTCATCTTCTTGAAGATCTTCAGGAATATCCAATGACTGAGCATTTGACATCTTAACAAAGGGTGGTATTCTTGACACTTTTACCCTGCTGTTGAACAAATAGTGGTGGTGGCGGGAAGAAGTATTATATCATTCAGATCCTGCCTCCTATCAGTTTTATACAAGGAAAGTCTGAAGATATTTGGAAAAGAGGTGGAGCTTTCAATACTTTACATCACACAATTTGTGAGTATAAGGATTTGCAATTTAAAACCAAACCTGGGGATGATGAATATATAGGTGGCACAACTTTCCTGGCCCGTTCTTTGTAGAACACAGAGAGATACTGTTAATTGGTAACTCAGGGTTAAATCATTTGTTTTGTATGTAGAGTCCTATTAAAAGTCTGGGTTCTCAGATACTTCACAAAAGTTTTGTCATCTAAAAACCAAAAGTATCTTGCTACATTTAGATCACATTAAAATGTTTTAAAAAGGGTTTTCTAAACCACTATAATCAGAAACTCCTTCCCTCCCCCCCCCCAGCCTCAGTAGGAGGCTTACTTTGTTTCCATCACTCAAAGGGGTTGACTGATGACATTTTTTGGAAGAAAATGAAAATGTAAAATACATTTAAGGAAAAATGAAATTCAGTACTTTTGTCAGTTACTTTTGAAATGTTCGGTGGCTATTTTGTTTTTCTCCCTCTGTACACTATTTGTGAAGATGAATAATAAACATGAGTAACATTACCAAATTGTGCCTCTCCAAAAATTAATGAGGGCATAGCTGTCCCCTTGAGAACCCAACACTCAAGTGAGATATGAGACACCTGGGTTCACGTGCTAGCCCCATGTCTCCTACTTCTCCAGTGAGTGGCCTAATCACTGAGCTGTTGAGTATTCAATCTGACAGAAAGGGGAAAGCTTTCTTGCTGAAGTTGTTGCACTGTATAAATGAACAAAAATTTGTAGGGCCATAGAGGGAGCAATAGACACTATATCCCAGTGATTAGGGCTCTCTCCAGGATGTGGGAGACAAATGGTAGGATTCACAAAGGTACCTAAATTCTTGATTTAGTCACCTAAATCTTGGTTTTAGACACCTAAACCCTAGTTTTAGGCTCCACTACTATTAACATAATTCCCACCAAACCCAGTAGGTGCCTAAACTCACTTGGTACCTTTCAGCTGTAAAAGTTTCCTTAGCATCTAAGTTTCTGCCTCACTCAAGGCACATGGATGCCTTTCTCCCACCTAACACCTGAGTGATCTAGGGAAGATAGGCATTCACATGCCTATATCACAGGAAGGGTCTCTATCTTGTCCATTCAAATCTGGTGGGTAGTTAGCCCAGTGGGATATTCTGATGTGTGGTTCCTTCAGTCTTCCAGGTGAAGCTGTTCCATTGTGTATAAATAATTGAAAAGTCATTGCTATGGGGGACTGAACCCTGGGTCTCTAATCCCAGACGGGTCCCCTAACCGCCTTGTGACATGGTCATTCTCTCTTGCTAGCATAGTAACTCTTGAACTATCCCATAGCTCAGTGGTTAGCTCAGTTGCTTGAGGTGTGTTTGAGGACCACTGTTCAAATCCTTACTCCAGCTCAAGCAGAGAAGGGAGGTCCCACCTCCCAAGTAAGATTACTAGGCTAAAAGCAATAGTGTGGGCAGCACCTTCTCCTCTGAATGTTTTGTGAAGAGTAAGGTGGCGGAAAAATGATATGCCTCAGGCTTCTAATTCAATTCACTGGGTTGGGGGTCCCAAGTGTGAATCCCAAGCAATGATAGGTGCCTCCATGCAGGCTGGACTTAGCCCCAGCCTTGAAGCTAGGCACCTAAGGACAAAGCCTGTCTTCCGCATCTCCAACTGGCTCCATGGCTGGGTTTTTTAAATTGCATTCAGAGGCACCTAACTCTCCCCATTCATGTTGTAGGGAGCCCTAGGTGCTGAATAGGCTTGTGAATCAGTGTTCCTGTGATTTCCTATGCACTTAAAACGTAGGCATTGTGATAATCAGCATCAAAACCCCTATGTCCCTTTGGGAGTCTAGCCACAAGTTCTTAGTCCCTGCTCCAGTGAAAATTGAATTATTTATATAAAGTAGGATAGCGCCAAGAGATGAGAGTCAGCTGTTTAATAGTCTGGTGGTTAGGGCACTGAACCAGGACAGAAAGGATCCAAATTCAACTCCTTGTTCCAAACTAGGCAGAGCAGACTTCAACAATTAGTCTTCCCTTTTTGTGGCGTATGCCCTAATCACTGAATTATGGGACGGATCTTGCTTTGTGATTTTTCATGATAAAAAATGAACCTGGCTTAGGAACCATATTCCAGGAGAGACTTCATGGTTGTGACTCCTGAGAAGAAGGAGATGGCCGACTATCTTTGACAAAGGAGCCTCAAGCCACACTGCTCTCTTTGGCATTTTCTAGCAGCTATCTGAGGTGATTTCCAGCGCTGCTTGTCGGTGTGTACAGATTCTCTTCTTAGATGCTGAGCTTTCTTCGTACATTGGCTGGGGATGCTGGGTGCCTAACTAGGGGATGAGCATTCCATGGGTGCCTAAAAGCTAGGGGCTGCAATGCTGAGAAGTGCAGCGCCATCGTCCTGTTGGGAACATAGGCCTTAGTGATCTGTGGGTAATACGGGCATTCTACTACCCATAGTATTATTGGTGCGATGTTTTATTACTCAATGTTGCAGAGTAGTCACCCTGTTCCAGGTGAAATAAGGGTTAGACCCAGCCCTGGAGGAGGATTTGGGGCTATGGAGCCATCAGCTGAGGCAGGTAGCAGCCAATTAGGGCTCTGCTGGGGCTGCTAAGCTCAGATGCACACTCTTGCTCCAGCTGTAGAGCAGGAGGACCTGGCTGCCTGGTAAGCTAGAGAGAGGCACCTGACACAGAGCAGGGCTGGGGAAGGGAAGAAAGAGCTGGGAAGTTCTGGCTGTACCCAATTCCCAGGCTGCAGGCCTGATACAGAAGCCTGAGAGATACTTGGACTGTAGGGAGGCAACCAGGGTAGGCAAAGGCAGCTGGTCCACACCCTCTTGCCCATGATGAGTGGCCATTTCAGACTGCAGATTGCCCCTGAGGCAGGGGATAGATGACGACTGGCAGTGGGTCACGGAGGCAAAGTGAGTATAGGGGATTGAGGTTCCTTGGGGGGGGAGGGAGACCCCAGAGAGCTGGGACACTGCTATGGGTCACTACTGTGAGGAAAGGCACATCATGGGGACATGGGGCCTGACAAGGGGCAGAAGACGACAAGTAACTAAGGATGAGAGATCCCTCAACAGGGGATATTCCGGGCCTTGAAAAGCTAATTCCCAGACAGACCGGCTGGAGGCACCACACTTGTGAGTCTTGACCCATTATTACACCCAACTGCCCAATGTTAAAACTGGACTTCTAGACCATCAAAAGGAATATGTGCCTTGCTTGATAGAGTTGTTCTTTGAAACAGAAACCCTTGGAAGAAATATTCAAGGGAAGTTTCAACAAAGTGACTCAAAAAGAGGATAATGTTGCATATATAGGTTTTTATAGATGTTAGATACCTGTTGGTACTAGTGAACAATTCCTCTTCTCATCAAACCTTACTCTAGCAAAATTGCCTTAGGTTCTTCAGAGCAACATATAAACAAATTGGAATAACCCAATTAAGCAAACTGATGTGAAGTTAATTATTTTCTAACATCTATTTTTCTTTTGAAAACTCTCCTGGCTCTTTCTTGTACTGTGTAAATACAGGTTCTTTAATGGGTTACATATTAGTACCAACGTGCAGCAAATTAATAATTTTTTTCACACCAGAAAGGATTATTATAACCATAATAATGGTTATAATACATTCCAAAATACTCAGTATTTTTTACATCAAGCACATCTTGTCTTGATTGAAAGCCATTAAGTGATGCAAATCCACCACATCCTTAGATAAGTTGCTTCAACGAACCAGTCACTTGTGACCTAAAACCCCTCAGTGCCAATTGGCAAAATTCATTGTTCTGTAACAACAGCTCCTATCTGGTCTGACAAACTCACTACACTTAAGACACTGCTTTCATAGGGTCCTGTGAGATATCCAGTGGATGCTTATGTCATATTCATTTATAATCATTGTGTGATGTATGTACAGATGATATTTAAGAACTTGTATAGAAAATTTTAGGATCTGTGTCCCAGCCACGGCTGACAAAGAAGCTGTTCCTAGACAAAGGAAGGTTAGGTTCATGTCTATATTAAGTATTACAAGCCAACACAGTAAAAACCCCATTTGTAGAGGAACTCAAAGGGGCCAGAGAAGAGGATGAATGTGCATTCAACAGGGGAAAACACACTGGAGTCTGAACCCAGGGGTGGGTGGGGTATCCATCCTGACTCAGAACAAAAACAACAACCTCTAGGAAATATAAGGAAAAGCAAACAAGTATTTTGTATGCATTTCACTGAGGAATCCCCTTGGCCAAAGGGAGTGATTTGCAAACACTTTGGAACCTTGTTTAATTGAAAACCAGCAAGTGCGCAGAAAAAGCTTAGGTGAGAGACTGCTTGGACAAAGAATTGTAGCTTGCCAAAGTTAAGTTTTAGTCTAGTAAAAACTAACATGTTATGCTCATTTTCTTCATAACCTGTTCTCATTATCCTTGCTCACTTTCTTTTAAAACTGTTATCTTTGCTAATAAGCTTACATTGGTTTTTGCCATAAAATAGATTACAATGCTGTGTTCCTACTGGAGCGGATACTCAGTTGAATCACACAGGTTGGTGTATTGTTATACTCATAGGGGTAGTGAACCTGGTAACTATTGTGAGGGTCCAGAAAAGGGCTGGACGTTTCTGGCAGAGAAGGGGAACACTCCTGAGGTGTCTGGGACCAGGGTGTATTAAATGTTTAACTGCAAGACAAAGTAAAAACTGGCAGTGCACCAAGGAGAGTGCTTCAGTGGCTGAAGAGCTAGAAGTATTAGGCAGCTGACATCCAGCCACCACAAGAAAAGATTCCCCCAGCCTCTCACTGGAGGCAGAAAGGTTTCATGGTGACTCACAGTGCAGGACATCCTGGGAAAATGTCACAACACTGTCAAAACTTGCACTCGCTCTCTGGTTTGAATTTCTCTAGCTTCAGCTTCCATGCTCTGGATCTCATTATGCCCTTTTCTGTTATATTAAAGAGCTGGGTACTATCAGAAATCACTTCCTCATGTATATGTATGTGATCTAGTCACCTGCTATTCTCCATGCTTATATAATAAGCACCTCGAGTTTTCAAAGATAATGGCCAATGGCTCTTCAATCACACCAGTCAACTCCCTCTGCACCCTCGGATGCATTAGATCCGGTCCCATGGATTTGTGCATGTCCAGCTTTTCTAAATAGTCCTTAACTTATTTTTTTACCACTGAGGGCCTGCTCACCTCCTCCCCGTGCTGTGCTATCTAGTGCAGTAGTCTGGGAGCTGCCTTTATCTGTGAAATCCAAGGCATGAAAAGCATTGAGTAATTCAACTTTTTCCAAATCATCTGTCATTAGGTTGCTTTCTCTGACCACGTTCTTGTTGCTAACATACCTGTAAAAACCTTCTTATTGTTCTTCACTTCCGTTGATATCTGCAACTCCAGTTGTGCTTTGGTCT